GTGATTATGATTTGGAAATCCTCTTTTTTACAGTTCAGTTTACCAGCTACAACTGAGAGTTTTGGCATTGAAGAAGAAAAAGAACATTATCTGTAGTAGACTGTGTTTATAGTAGCTAGTGAGATCTGAGCAATAGTTTTTGTTCTTAGTTAGTTAGTATCTAGTTATTATGAAAATAGCAATAAAACTTTTACACTATTTTCTGAAACTAAGAAAATAAATCTACTATTAATAGCAAGAGTCAAAATGTTTCAAAAGTAGACTGATCAGTCACTGCATGCTAAGCAAATGCAGCGAGACAAACAAATGACGAGTACCAGAACTAAACGGACGATGTGATGAATCATCTTGACAATTGACAAACTAATCCAGAATTGAGCAGATTAGAACATAAAGACTATGAACAAAACTCACTTGTATTTTAAAAAGTAGAAATCCACCCCAAATTACAGCTCAACAGTGCTACTCCCCTTATTCAAGTTAACTTAATAGTGAAACAAGTAAACCACACAGGTCAGAAACTATAAAAACAAAGGGTAGCCATACAATAGAAGGGTATACGTAATAGATAAGAAGAGGTAACAGTAGTAAGTGATGAGTTGTAACAAGGAGAGGATACAGTGTCAAGTATAAGAAAGAAAGAGACATAGCTAAAGAGAGGAGAATAGTGTCACTTACTTGAGCATCTATAATTTAATTTACATTTCTTCTAATAACATCATACATACCTCAGGATACCACACACACTCTAGTCTCACTTGGCTATACATGCTACTACCTTATATAGCATTTCTCAGCTTTTATTAATAGTGTCATGTGGGAGAATATCACCTTGTCAAATTTTCATTTTCATTTCCAAAAGAAAATTTATTCCTCTTGCATAAACAAACCGTTCACACTTACAAGGTGCTAACAAGGTGTGATTAATTTAACAAGGTGTGATTAATTTTTACAAGCTAAAGGATCCTAGTATATCTCAGCCAATAGAGCAGGAATAAGCTCCGCATAGCAAATACTAAAAATTGCAAATTAATTTTAAAATATTATCAATTTAAAAATATTATCAATTTAACAATAAAAAATTTTCTGACTTCAATTTTTCAAGCTGCAACCATTTAAGAACATGCAAAATTAAAAAAATACCCAAGGCTATAGCCCATGGTTTTTTTCCAAAAAATGGCTCTGAAATCACCCCCCATTTTTATTACATTTTTTGATGCATAAACATGTCCTTATGCTGTGTAGAAAGTTTGAGCTGATTCTGACTTCAATTTTTCAAGTTACGGCCATTTAAAAAAACAGGCAAAATTCTGAAAATTCCCTGTACTTATAGCCCATGGTTTTTTCCAAAAAATGGCTCCAAAATCACCCCCAATTTTTATTACATTTTCTGATACATATTGATGTCCTTATGCTGTGTAGAAAGTTTGAGCAGATTCCAACTTCAATTTTTCAAGTTACGGCCATTTAAAAAAATGGGTCAAAATTTGAAAATTTTCCTGTACTATAGCCCATGGTTTTTTTCAAAAAATCGCTCTGAAATCACCCCCCATTTTTATTACATTTTCTGATGCATATTGATGTCCTTATGCTGTGTAGAAAGTTTGAGCTGATTCCGATTTCAATTTTTAAAGTTGTGGCCATTTAAAAAAAACAGCAAAATTCTGAAAAATACCCAAGGCTATAATAGTCCATAATTTTTTCCAAAAAATGGCTCCGAAATCACCCCCAATTTTTATTACATTTTTTGATGCATACAGATGTCCTTATGCTGTGTAGAAAGTTTGAGCTGATTCCGACTTTAATATTTCAAGTTACAGCCATTTTTAAAAATGCCAAAATTCTAAAGAATGCCCTGTATTATAGTCCATGGATTTTTCCAAAAAATGGCTCCAAAATCATCCCAAATTTTTATTACATTTTCTGATACATATTAATATCCTTATGCTCTTTAAAAAGTATGAGCTGATTTTGACTTCAATTTTTCAATTTCTAAAGTATACAATTTCAACAAGTACACAGCAATTCTAATAAGTATACAGCAAAGTGTCACTGGTGGGACAAATATAAGGTGCTTCATGATCAAAGGTGGTTGATTTCTTGGCAGCTGGTGTCAACATGTTATTCCAAACAACTTTGGCAAAGGCTTCGTGTCCTTTGACTGAAGGATGAAAGCAATCAAACTGCACAGTGAGAGAAAAGTTGTACTCAAAATGGTGAAACAGATAATAATCAGCACAGTATTAAATAAACATCACATGCTACTCAGAAAACTACACACACACGCACAAAGTTTACACAAGGCAGTTAACAACACTGAACTAATTGATTAATATTTCATATTCACCGACTTACAGTCGAAAAGAAATCAAATGGAACATTGGCTGCAGTGCCATCTCTTAATCCTGGTTGGGCTATCACAGCAAACTCAGTATAGTTCTTTTGCTTGTAGTCATCAGCAACCTATTAATGATATACATTACAAGCAGATAATGTGTAATCATAGATATTAACTTTTCTTATTCTTTCATTGTACTGTACCACATGATCATCAACTATTTGCCTGAATGGAGTGAAAGAGAGTCAAACAAAACGAATGATCCATTACCTCCACTTCGCTCCGTCGTCTGGATCAAAGAGACAAAAACATTCAATTGCGAAAAGCCTGTGAAACGTCAGACAGTAATCTGAATCTTTAGTTTTCTCATAAACCTATAGTATTAAGTGTCTAGCAGTGTTACAAATCTATTGCATTATTCTTACCAACGACAAATTGAATATTTCAACAACATTAACAAAAACACGAGGAATGTTAGCCCGGACTTTCTCAAGAGCTGAGCGA